GGGGGTGGAGAGAAAGAGAAAAGGGAGGGAGTGATGACGTTTTGTTAAGTAGGCAGAAGAAAGGTTATCGGACTTGAAGGAAAAGGCAGAGCACATCAAGCAGGATGACGATAAGTCCACCGTGATTGTGATTCATCAAGGCGGGGAACTCGTGCAGGCTGGAAACCCAAATATCAATCTGGATATCCAGTTCTTACGCACCATTGAAATCTATAACTAATTTGAAAACAGGACCCGTTTCGACTCACTCAGCTCGACCTGCAATCAAAACTAATTAACAATGTTTCTGCCCACTCGAATCTACTAATTAACTACTTTCTACAAATGCACATAGGGCTAGAAGCGCAAACAAACTAAATTTATCTATTAATTTGTTTACATGTTTAAAATTTATTTATTTATTTATTGGGGGTCAAGTAATGGGCCTGTATGCAAAAGCAAATTCAGACTAATCGGTAAACTCCCGAGAGAAAGACTTAAACTGGTATCGATCTAAACAGGGAGCTCTCATGATCTTGAGGTGCCGTGTTCGTTTCTCATTCAAAAGGTCTTGGGGTTCGAGCCCTGACAGCGACGGAAGAATATTCATCTCTAGACATTTCTTGCACGTTCTGTCCCGTACCCTGGTCCTGTTCTGTCAATCGCTTTCATCTTCCTTTTCTTACCGGATCTTGGAGGTCCCGTGTGCAAGAAGCACACGGCGCGGCAGTATTGCATGCAGACGTATCTCATTGGCCGCCGAAAAATGACTTACGTCTGTATGCAATACTACCTGCCCGAGACGATACAGATCCCTTGGTGGTCGTAAAATCGATAAGAAGGGTAGGCTTCGGCCGCCACCTGGGCAAAATTCAAAATTGATTCCAACCGAAACTAGAAATACTCTCATTACTACAAAAAACATTTAGAGTACATTGTATCTTCAAAATGTGGCTGCCTGAAGGCAAGGGGCCCTACACAATTAGGAAAAACCGTCACATAACTGTCCCCAGGGTTTTATGCACCCCTCATCATTTAGCAAAATTTGATCATTTTTTGAATAATTTCTTATTATTTTCCTTTACTATTCTTTGTTAAAATTATCAGAATCGCATAATTTCATATTTTTGGGCTCAGTTTGCATAATTTCATATTTCTTTTTTTCATAAAACCGCGGGGACAAACATATGTACATAAAAATCAGTCGCACTGCTGGTTGAAGAACCAGCAAATGACTAATCTTGAGATCTAGCAGGGGAACGCAAAGAAAAAGACGAAGATCTAAATCAATCAGCAGCAAGTCTTGTGGGCAGCAGGCAAGTTTCGGTTTGAGATTTTATGTCGCTCGGCAGGCCTCGAATCGACAGTTTTCTCCAGTAACAACCGAACCTGCTCTAACGGCCCCATGCATAAGACAACCTGCACCTGTACAGACTGGCACCTTCCATCTCTTCCGAATCTTCCCCTGACGTGTATTTTTCAACATT